TGCTCGTGTGCGTCGGGGGCTGACCTGCGGGCGGGCTCCGCGCATCCCGCCTGGCGCGTGCTCTGCAGCCTGACAAAGCTCTGCATTGCAATAAAGTCAGCTAGTGAGTGAAGTGGCTCAAAAAGGGCTGTTTTGTTTGGGGTTTTTTGCTTTTAGTGAAACTTGCAGGAAGTTGGGTGCAGTGTATTAACTGGAAGAGGAGAGGGGTCCTAGTATAATATCCATAAACATTAAATGTTAATGTGTCCCGCATCCTAGAAATTATCGTAAGGTCTTAACCTTTTATTGTGTATACAAGTTATCAGAAGAAGAACGGTATTTTTATTTTATTGCTGAGTTCATCTTTAAGTTAGACTGTATGGTACTATATAGGTCCTGGTGAACTGCTGCAAGGGCAGGAAAGGAATAAATTAAATTAGTAGCAGTCGCCCTCCTCGCGGGGAGAGGGCCCATATGGGACCTTTTAAGTGAACTGCTTTCAGATCCTGAAGGGAGAGATCTGGAGAGGTTTGACCAGAGAGATGAGTGATTATTCTCAAGCCTCAATAAAAAAAGAAAAATAAAGATAAAATCTGCTAATAGCATCTTATCTCCATTTGTGGTATTTCCTGTGCCTCCTGCAGGTAGCATTTGCTAATCAGAGCCCTGCCCTACATTAATACTGAGTCAGGCAATCAATGCATATTTATGAAAAACCCACTCCGCTGGCCTCTGACTCAGAGGCTGGGATTAGAACAACAACAAAAAAATGCATTTGCAGTGTTGAGGAAACCTCACAGGGTAGAGAGAGAGAGAGCAGGACTCAAGGTAAATATGTTTGCTTCAGTGATGGCCATGATTTACAAGTATGTTCTTCTAAAAGTAGGAAATGAGCACACAGCTTTTTAAGACTGTCATCACTGGCGATTTTTATTCCTTCCAGATCCAGCACCTGCCTGTATGAAGAAGGCTTCCTCTGGCTTGATGAATGTGAGTCTGAAACAAAATTCAAAGGGCAAGAACAGCATGAAATAGTAAAAAATCAGCTTGGAAAGTCGGGGAATAGAAACCAGAGAAAATGCAGTGCTTTTATGATTAGTATTTTAGGTGTAGTTTATAGAAAGCCAGAGCCAGTTTTTATTCAAAATCAGTGCACAGTTGCATGGCAGTATTCGCTTTATGAGCAATCACCTTTGCAATTCCCAATGTGCCCTCAAATGAAGTTCAGTTCTGCTTATTTACAAATATTTATTATTTGAAGGGAGTTCCAGAGATTACCCGTTTTCTGTAGAGCAATCTGTTGTATATATAGCTTTGTGTGTGTGTGTCTCGCTGACAACCCATCAGCAAAGGTGACAGCATATGTCATCCATACAGGAAATGACAGCAATAGCAGCCTTTTATCCACAGAAGAACGTTGCATGATGTAGCCTATAGCTTACTGTGCATCTTCTCCCAGATTATTCTGTCACCATATTCATAATGGGAGCAGTGTCCCAACTAACTCATTTATGAAAAACTACTCATTCCTGATGGCTAGAAATCACACATTTTGTTATTGTTGTTAATCCTCACCAGAAACACATTGATTGGTTGCCTCCTGACCAGGGTTAGGATCGAACCTGCAACCAAGTACATGCCCTTGACTGTGAATCAAACCCATGACCCTTCTGCGCATGGGCCGATGCTCTAACCTCTGAACCACATCGGCCAGGCCCACGCACATTTTTTATTGGTTCAGAAACCTCATTGAAGTTGAGTCTGGCACTGATCTGTTTCTATTTGATTTCAAAGTCCTCTCAGATCTCATCTTCCATTGTTGTAAGAAGCACCGTGTGCCAGCCCCTGGCAGGGAACTCCAGTTCCAGAAACATGACCTTGTCATAGAATCTGTAGTACAATTCAGGTGTCAGCAAGATCATTTAGAAATGTTCAGGTCCTATGATTCCACTGGGGATGGACTTAAGGAAGAGGGCTATTCAGAGACAGCTTCTCCAAGGACCAGGATTTATCATCCTCTACAAAACATACACCGAATACATCGCATGTGTGAGGTGCTGTGCCAGAGTGTGAGGTTACAAAGACACTTAATGCACACGTGAAAGAGAACCAGCAATGTAACTAGATGGCCGGTGCTTAATGCCCAATGGATAAGCAGCAATGATTATAGACAATGAGAGGAGGGGGGAATCCAAGAATTGGGGTGATCGACATAGCTGACCTAGGTCTTGAAGTAGGAGTTAAGGCTGTAGAAATGAACCATGGATGGTTCCAGGTAGGGATGCTTGCTATATACTAAGTACTCAATAATAGTTTAACAAATATTTAAGGTAAATGGAATGATAAAAAAAAGCATCTATGTTTGTGGGGGACAAAGAGACCGATTTGACTGCAACCAAGGTGATGTGTACATTTTACATGGGTGAATTATATGGTATGTGAATTGTACCTTAAAGCTGTTAAAAAAAAAAAAGAAAAAAGATCTCCAGAGGAGTCAGGCACAAAATTATCAAGTCCAGAAAGTGGAAAAGAGATGTCAGGGGTATTCCTATCTTGCTGGATTTTCACCTGATGTTGCCTGAGTCAGTTTTTGTTTGGGGCCACCAAGGATTAAGAACTCGTGTCTTTGGGTAGGAACTCATAGGCAAGTCGGTGAGAGAGGCACGCTCACTAATTTACTAACTTATAATACGGACAGAAGTTCTTTGGCAACTTGTGGCCTGGGGTATGGAGACATGAGACATGCCCGAGAATCCTCCTTCTGATTGAGACTGAGGCGTGGAAAGTTGATTACCACACTAGTATAAAATACATACTGAGCAGTGCTGGCCACTATCGCTTCCATTCTTTTTGCAGAAGCACAAAATAATTGGATAAATTAATCTTAAATTTTAGATCATTAAATCTTTTAGTTTAAAATTGAGGTGAAGCTATAACATAAAATTCCATCAAATCACAAAGCTACCTGGTGACTGTAAGAAAAGATTTTTACTACCTTTGGTGCATAGTGGGTGTTATATTGATTCAATGGATTAGTGTATTGATAAGGTATATTCTTATACTTGTAAGGCTCCCTTTCTATCACAATTCCTTGCATGTGCTCCCCTCTAAGGCATCAGCAACTTCTTTAGACTCTGTTTCCACAGTATATCTTAAGTCTCTTCATCTCCGCCTCTATCTGTCTTGTACAAGCCCCATCACTGCTCAACTGCAATAGCCTCCTAACTGATCGCCATGCTTTTATTTTTGTCACTGATTCATATTACAGAAGCCATAGTTATTATTTGAAAACACAAATCTGTTTATGTCCCTTCTTTTTAAAAAATTTCTTTATTGTTCAAAGTATTACAGATATTTCCCCCTCCCTCTTTTTTCCCCCATTGACACCCTCCAGCCTGCAACCCACCCCTCCCAGGCCTTCACCACACTATTGTCTGTGTCCCCGGGCTATGCATATCCTATCTAATAAAAAGTAATATGTAAATTAACCATCACTTTGCAATAAAGATGGTGTTGCCCACAGCCAATAAGGAGGGAATATGCAAATTGATGTGACAGAGATGGTGGCGCTGTAGCCCGAGAGCAGGTGGGAGGTGGGGGCTTGGCTTCCTCGGTCGCCCCAGCTGGCTCCGTGGTCACCACCCAGACAAAGCCATAGTGGCAGGGCCAAGGCAGAGGTGGTTAGGGACGATCAGGCCAGGAGGGGAGGGCAGTTGGGGGCGAGCAGGCCAGCGAGGGGGGGGCAGTTGGGGGGCGGAAGGGCCGGTGCGGGGGCAGTTGGGGCGAGCACATTGGCAGGCAGAGTGGTTAGGGGTGATCAGGCAGGCAGGCAGGTGAGCAGTTAGGAGCCAGCAGTCCCAGATTATGAGAGGGATGTCTGACTGCCAGTTTAAGCACAATCCCTGTGGGCCTAAACTGTCAGTCAGACATCTCCTGAGGGATCCCAGATTGGAGAGGGTACAGGCCGGGTTGAGGGATACCCCTCCCCTCGTGCACGAATTTCATGCATCGGGCCACTAGTATGCATATAAATTCTTTGGTTAATCTCTCCCCTCCACCCCCAACCCCTGCCTTCCCTCTGAGATCCGTTAGTGTGTTCCATTCTTGTATATCTCTGGATCTATTTTGTTCACCACTTTATTTTGTTTGTTAGATTCCACATATGAGTGAGATCATGTGATACTTGTCTTTCTCTGACTGGCTTATATATATGCTTAGCATAATACTCTGCAGGTTTCTCCATGCTGTGTCAAAGGGTAAGAGATCCTCCTTTTTTATAGCTGTATGGTATTCCCATGACACTTGGAATGAAACCCAAACCTTTCATGATCTTGCCCTTGACTGCCTCTCAGACTCATCTCCGTCTACTCCCTCATCTGGTCATGGGCTCAGAGTGTTCCAGCCGACCTGAGCCAATACTGCCCCACTCCCCCCAATTCCAGCCATGCCAGATTGGCTCATTCTGTTTTTCTCAAGGTACTTATCTCTAACTGAAGTTTTCTTGTTTGTTTACATGATAATGATAAACAGGTCTTGCTATATTTGTCCTACTAATTACAATTTGTCTATCTTTAAGAAGAGTGTCTGCTATGTAGCACAAGATCAATAAATATTTGCTGAATGAACAAACTGAAAAATGTGTGTACTTGTAAATGATCTGGTTCCCTAAGGTTGGAGACTGGAAATAAAAGCAGAAAAATGGGTAGCATTCTATTTGAAGAGATAAGTTTGCACCCTTCATAAGACTATAAAATGAATATATTACTTTGCCAGAATTATTTACATAAAATCATTTAGGGTCTATAAGCTATGAAGTACTTGAAGGGAGGTCAGAAAAATCTTGTGACTACCGTTTTGGCTTTTATCAAAATTCAGTGGTCAAATTTGAAAAACAAACTGATTTCAACCCAAACCTCTAAACCCATTGTTAGTAAATAATCCAGGCAGGCACTTATTCTTACTCATGATGATAAAATCAATATTTTTTCCTCATGGCTATGATTCATTTCCCATAAATGTGTTATTGTTCTCTTTTCAAATGCCTTAGCAAGGTTTCCGTTCAAAGTTATAATGTCTTTAAGCATTATTGCCTTCATTTACTGGAAATTTCCAACAACAAAAAAGAGCAATGAATTTTTCTTCACTATAATTGAGAATTCTTGGCTACTGTTTAAATGAAACTACAATTTCTATTATTTGAAAGAACTCTTAATAGGAAAAAATGTTGTACCCTCCAGCATATTTTAAATAGCATCCAATTCATACACAATCTTTTAGGAAAACATTTCCTGAATATTTTATTCAAAAAGTAAATGAACATTCAAGGGAAAACAACCCTAGTGTTGAGAGATTGGATTCAAATTTATTATTTAAAACTGATTATAAGAAATGGTTTTTACTTTAAAGTTTTTCTTCCTACCAGAGCCAAGAAGTGAAAATTAACACGTTAGAAGTGCTGTTTCTTTTTCAAAGGTGAACAAACAACACCTCAGTAATGCCGATCCTCTATAAAATATCGTAAAATCCTTAATGAACTTCATGGATACATTTTAGTGTAATATTGTCATGGATTTTCACATTTTAAAAAGCAGGTTTATTGAAGTATACTTGACATACAATAAACTTCATACGTTTAAAGTGTAAATTTGATAAGATGGACATATGTATACACCCGATGAATCAATGACCACATTCAAGATAATAAATATACCCATCACTTCCAACATTTCCTCTTTCCCCTTGGAATGGTTGTTATATGTAACTGCAGTTGCTTTTTCAATGTGCAGTCAACACAATTCATTGAGTGCCCACCATATTCTAGATATTGCGCTGGGTATTGGAGATTGAGTGGTCAGCTAAAACAAATAGGTTCTGGTCCCAGAGAGCACGTAGGACATTAATCAAATAATGATGTAAGTAAATAAATATAAAATCACAACTGTGTATTATACTCTACAGGAAAGATAGTCTACATCTGTGTATATTGATGGTACTTCAAACTTTTCTGGGCTTTCACTCTGACATCTGGAACTCTTCAAAGTTGCTTATAATATGCCTTTGTAATATATCTAAAACGTTCATTTGATAGGGGCAGAAATAGATGATTGGGGACCAACTACCATTGTAAGAAATGGTAATCATGCTCTGTTAACCGTGATTGTTTTGTTCTGATTAAAGACGGCGCATTCTAACCTGGCTGGGAGTTGCACATGGGACCTGGGAGCTCACCTGGAAATGCAGCCCATCCTCCCCATCAGGGAGCTGCCTATTATCGTAGAAAGATTAACAACCTGTTGCAGACACCAGAACCACCAGCCCTTTGAAGGACCCCAGCATCTGCATACCCACAGGCCTTTGCAGGTCTCCAGCCCCCATTACCTGTAAGCTGCCCATTTGGCATTCCCTTTTGCCTACTTCCCCCTGTAATCTTTGTCCTTCTGCCCAATATAAGCCGCTGGCTTATGGGGAGAGTCAGAGCAGACTTTTGTGGCTGACCTGCTGCTCTCCCATACTCTGGCAGTATGGGAATAAATGCTCACATATGATTCAACCCTGTCTCTGATTAATTGGCTCAAGGAGTGACAAGTAGCACAGACCCATTGGTTGTTTGGTTACACATTTACATTTTGTTTTTGGTGGATGGTATGGCCTTTATCTTGGTAAGAGTGTAATATTTGTTATATGGAAAGGATAACCAGTGAAGACAAGAAATTGTGCTATAACTTATTTCCTTGGTGTTGACCAGAAAGCCAATATTGTAAATGAAAAGAAATTCCCAAGTAAATCTCACTTTTTTTTCCTTGCTATGTCATATTAAGTGCTTTTTCAGGGAGGGAAGGTGACAATAATGAGGTTAAAGTATTAAAATAAAAACAAACAGCATTTTTATTAAAAACTGAGTATGGCAGGAAATGAGATAAATAAATATTATTATAGCATACAATTTTGTAATCCCATGACTTTTAATTTCAATGGAAGGCCAGACTTAATCAAGATGGTTTCCTGATTAATTGAAATAAGCTATAGCTTTCAAACTTAAAATACTTGCCAACTGTGTTTGGGCTTCTTGGATGATATATCCTGTGCTCAGGTTAATAGTTCACTGCAGCGTTTAGCAGATTTATTGAAAATTATTTTTCCTCTGACTCCAAAAATACTCAGAAACAACATATTCTACAAAGAGGAATCATTTATCACTGTAAATTCTTTCCAACTCTGAACTCTGAGGAAATATATGAAATGGAGAAAGAGAATCAATACTGAATCCAGGATTACATTTTAGTATTTTCCCCAAAAGAAGAAAAGAAGAAGAAGAAGCCAGGGGAAACACTGTAACGGAAGGAAACTGAGTACAGATTCAAGGTTTGTGGAGCTGGGGACACTGAAGGTAAGAGCAGAGTGACCTAAAGCCGAGTAGGAGAGTGGAGGCTTGGACCTTTGTATAGATCTGCTTGTCTATACCAAACCCCTAGGGTCAGCTCCTCTTCTTGCCTGTATTGATTTTTGGTCTATTTGTCATATGGTGTGAATTCTTAAAAACTGACCTCAGCCTGCTGAGTATGGGACCTCTTTCCTCCTGTTCCCAGATCCATGCTTTTCTGCCTCCAGCTTGCCTCCCCTGTTTTCAGAAGCCATATACCCTCTCATTGAAGCAGCTGTAATCTGTTGCCTGCATAGCCCTGTTATACTGTAAATCAGAAGATGCCTTAATCAATAAGCCAAATTAATTTGTAGTATTTTATTATTACACTAGCACTAGCGGGCTCAGAGTAGAATATCTCTGTCACATTCTGGGCCCCAACATGGTGGAAGTCTTTCCTATTTAACATTTTTCAGTTCTTTGTCTTCCAAATTTGGAACAAGACTTCTGGACCTTCTGAGAAAAAGTCCTGTTTGCTGGGACAGGGCCATGAGACCATATCTCAAGGCCTGGCCTGGTGCCAACACTGACAGCTCTGTCTGGGGCATAGTTTACGGCCTCTCTGGAGTGGGAGTAGTCTTATTTTTCCCTATTTTGTCAGCAAGCAAACATTTACAGAAGCCAGAATAGCAGGGTTAAAATTTTAAACAGCAGTTTTTACCCAAGATGGAGGTTACTATGCTTTAGCCCAGGGGTGGGCAAACTTTTTGACTCAAGGGCCACAATGGGTTCTTAAACTGGACTGGAGGGCCGGAACAAAAGCATGGATGGAGTGTTTGTGTGAACTAATATAAATTCAAAGTAAACATCATTACATAAAAGGGTACGGTCTTTTATTTCAATAGTTTTATTCATTTCAAATGGCCGGATCCGGCCCGTGGGCCGTAGTTTGCCCATGGCTGCTTTAGCCCCTCAAAGTTTCCAATGCCCATTGGTTTAATCTTATGCCCAGTTCTGGCCTTGTTGATCTCTGACTTGTTATTGTCTTAAATGACAGTACAGGAGGCAAAGGGAGATGTGTAGGTTGGGAAATATCGAGAAATAAATTTAATATGTACATGGGAACCAAATGCTTGTTTGCATGGCAGGACCATGCCAATCAGCAGAGGTGATGGAGTGAACGCACCAAGGAAAGGGAGTGACAGGATAAATTTGTGTGTTAAAAAGATTGTGTGGTGGTATCAGGATGAGGAGTATGTGTTGGAAGTGAAGGGACAAAGTTGGAGAGGACAAAGATCTATTCAATTAACAGTGGAAATGGAGATTTTAAAAAAGCTTGAACGTAATATGCAACAGTTTTAGCAATACTTATGGAACTATGGAGACTAAAGGGCAGTGGTCTGTTTATCTGGGGGAAAAACAGATAATCATTGTGTAATTATAGATATACTAGAGGCCCGGTGTACAAAAATTTGTGCACTCGGGGGGCGGGGGAAGGATCCCTCAGCCAAGCCTGTGCCCTCTCATAGTCTGGGACACCTTGGGGGATGTCCACCTGCTGGCTTAGGCCCGCTCCCTGAGGGATCAGGCCTAA